CTGATGGCCATGAATTTAAGTTCTCTATTCTGTGGTCTGACATACTGTTTCATTTTCATTCTTTGGATGCTCTGTTAATATTGCTACTGACAGAAGTGTCTGAGATGTAAAGAATAGAAGTCATTCTTAATCATTTATATTCTAGCTTGCATGTAGGAGACAAAAGAGGAATTAGAGGTGCCCCTAATGATTAGAAATTTGTGGTAAGCAGTACCTCACACACTTTCACCTGCTTTGTTGGCCGTTCATAATCGATTATAGCTTTCTTCTTTAATGCTACCCACTAATAGTTCCAACATATTTTCAAATCACCAGTCACGTGGATTTAGCCCTTGAAATCTTAAATCTCGCTCTCCTTGTGTCATCTTTTCTTGCTACTCAGTGTATCCATTTGCATATGTATGCATTAAGGTTGGTCTCTCAAAAACCAGCCTCAATGCCATTGCATCAATGCCGACTCATGGCGAGCCTATAGCACAGTAGACCGTACCCTGAGAACTTCTGAGAGGAGAATGGTTCATGAGCTTACACAGCCCCACCTTTCTTCCGAGGAGCAGCTGGCAGTTACAGATTGCAGCCCAACATATAACCACTGTGCCACCAGGGTTCTTTGTAAGATGGGTCTACATATAGTTTTTCCACGTTTTCCCAGGTTTGGGCATTCTTTCTCCCTCCTCATGCTGTTCTTTGTAGTATCAGCCAAACTGGTACTGTAAGGTCATGACTATCGCCTCGGCAACATTGGTGAAAAGCATTCACTGCGTATCTACCATGTACCCCGCTCTCCACTAAGTACTTCACATGTACGAGGGGATCCATAATGTTCTTGGGAAAACTCTATTGTATTTTAATTCCACAAATGTTTTGAAGCCCCCTTGAGTTGTATCATGGAGCTCTTTGTACAGCTGTGTAAGTTAGACACTATTATTATTTTCGTTTTATAGTTACGGAAGCTAGAGTAAGGCTGAATCGATAGGAAATGACAGAGCCTTAATTTAAAGAGAGACCACCTATATTCTGAGTCCAAATTTTAACCTTAGAGCTATGCCTTCCAATCAAAGAAAGAATGGGTTAAAATAAAAATGACTTAAGTGTGAGCATTCCAATTTTACCCATGCTGTTGCCAGGCTGAGTCAAAGATGATTTCTTTGAACTTTCCAAGCTTGCAAACCAATTTGGCACAACTTCTTCAGAGTCCTTAAGAAATACTTCACTGTGTGTTTATTAAAAAAAATCTGGTAGATTTTTGTTCACATCCGTGCTCTGATCTTTCTATATTTTGAAAAGCCTCTGTCATCTTTGAGGGTGGCTGTCTCTGTAGATTGTCATCTGCGTTCACAGATGGCTTTGTTTTATCTGTCCTTGTCCTCTTTGCAGCATCCACTTGGTGGATTTAAAATGCTATCGTCTTTTACGTAGGCAGGAAAGAGTTGTTAAAAGAAAAAAAAATTTTTTTTTGTATAGCATTTTGGTAAGCTTCAGGGGAAAACATTGACTTGTTTTATTCACAACAGCCCCATGCAAAGGAAGTTTAATTTCTTCCTCCCTTCTCTTGATCTACTTTATATATAGTCTTTGGAATCTGCATATTACTCAGAACTCCTAAGCAAATTCATTGCAGAAATGAAAAAGAGCTGATTAACCTACTTTTTACTTATCAAAACTGTTAGATTCTAAAAATCAGTGCATTCTACAGAACTCAGTGTTATTCAGAAATGAAGGATGGCCCTATAAGATTCCAAAATGGAGGATGACTACATCATTTTATAACAAATCACATAATTGCGTCGCTACTAAACGACATCATTACGTAACTGTGAAGACACAGGGAAGCATGGCAGGGCCCAGCCAAAGTGACACGTAACCTCATCCATGACGGCCACACGCCTCAGCCTTCTTTACTGCAGACACATGTCCGATTGTTGTAATTGAGAAATACATAACGAGATGTTTGATAGTGAGGAATAGATGTATTTATTGATTGTTTCTAAGTACCAGACATTACACAAGAAATTGTCGCCTTCAATTCAGTACCTATTTATCAAGCACAACAAATAACTATAATGTGATCCCAGACCTGTGGGGATGAAGGAATAATCACCTTTTTCCCTGAGCTCGTCGTCTAGCAGAAATGAAAATAGAGAAGAAACGGATACAATTCTGAGTTCCATTATGGAAAGGGAATAGAAGGTGAAATGGAAAAGGGTGGCATGGGGAATCACCCCGATCTAGAGCCTTGTCGGGCCCCTGGGAGTGCTGTGGGTGAGGCGCTGGCTTGCTAACTGAAAGGCTGTAATTTAGTTTGTTCTTTTGTTTTGTGGAGAAAGATGAAGCTAACTGCTCTTGGGAAGATGTATAGTCTTGGAAATCCTTTATAGGGTGGCTTTCTATGGGAATTGACTTGAGGGCAGTGGGTAAGATACAGGTCACATTGTAGAGAATGGAATGGGACAAGGGTCAGGAATAGATGTGAGGAGGAAAGTGAGCAGGCTGTTGGATGGTGTTTGAGAGAAATAATGTTTACTGAAACTAAGGCGGTGACTTTAGTTTAAGTAAAAATTAAGGAATACCAAAATCCTCCCAACTGGACCGATAGGTCACATCATGATGAATGGAGGAAAGGGTGACCTTGTCAAGGATTTGGTCTTAGTTGGGTCTGCAATCAATGCTCAGGGAAGCAGCAGTCAAGCGATCAAAAGATGTGCATTAGGTAAATCCGCTGCACAAGACCTCATTAGAGTATTGAAGAGCAAGGATATTACTGACCCAAGTCGTGGTATTCTCCATTGCATCATATGCATGTGAAAGTTGGACATTGAATAAGGAAAACCATAGAAGAATACATGCATTTGAACTGTGGTGCTGGAGAGGGATATTGAAAGTGGACTGCTGAAAGGACAAACCAGTCTGTCTTGGAAGAAGTACAGCCAGAGTGCTCCTTAGAGGCAAGGATGGCAAGACTTTGTCTTCCATACTTTGGCCATATATCAGTCCCTAAAGAAGGATATCATGTTTGGTAAAGTGGAAGGGCAGCGAAAAAGAGGAAGGCTCTCAACAAGTTAGGTTGACACAATGGCTGCATCAGTGGGCGCAGGCATAGGAACAATTTTGAGGATGCCACACGACTGTGCAGTGTTTCGTTCTGTGGTGCATATGGTTACTATGGGTTGGAGCCGACTCAGTGGCCCCTAGCAACAACAACGAGTGGCCACAGAGATGGAGAGAAGTGGGATGGTTTCAAGGGAGCCTGCGAAGAAGGGAAGGGGCAGTTTATGTGTCTTCAAAGTTCTGTCTTATATACTGTGTCATGCTAAACCAAAGACTTGCCCTGAAAAGTGGGTGAACCAGGGGAAACTGGAATAGAAAATGAGACTTGTCGTTATTATATTAACTGAGTTGTGAAATGACAGGACTTCACAGGGTGATTACAAAGATGATAAAGTTATGGCCACCCAGTTAGTTGTAAAGTACTGATTTTACAGTTAGCTAGGTAGGATCCTCATGAAAAGTTTCCCCTCAAAATCATGTTCACTAGCAATTGAACTGCGTGTGGTACATGGACATGTGTTCAGTGATTGATGTCTCCCTAGCCCTCCAAATATTACTTTATTCTTTCAGTCACTTACTTGTTTGTTCACTCATTTTTTCATACATTAAAAATAATATTTAGGGGGATGGAGGCAAAAATGAGCTTCTACCAAAGGTTCAAGTAGAAAGAAATGTTTCAAAAAGAATGATGGCAATGTATGTACAAATGTGCTTGACATAATGGACGTATGGATTGTTATATGAGCTGTAAGAGCCCCCAATAAAATGATTGATGATAATAATAATATTGACCCTTCTTCACAAGATATGTTTCCTGTTCTCAGTCTCATACAAATATGACCATCATACCGAATGTGGGCCTTTGATGGGCATGTTTAGTCAGTCAGGCTTCCATTTGTAGTTGACATGGGCCTCACCACTTCTCCCCAAGTGCAGCCATTTCTGTGTCTTCTTCTTTTTTTTTAAAATTTCTGTGTCTTCTAATGTCACATTCTGTTCACCCCTTTCCCCTTCTGTTGCTGCTCCCGGTCTGCAAAGGCTCTCTGGAAGCAGTGGGTTTACAGAACGTTTTTCAATGAAGGAGATCCTTCAATTCAGACAGTAGACAAGTACAATGGGCCACTTACCAACAGTAGACCTCTACTATCTTAGTCACGGAAAGCAAGCTGCTGTGGTAGCATCAAATCCCCACTCTCCATGGTTTGGATACAGTAGAAATGGATTTCTTGCTAACATGAAGTCCAGCCAGTTGTGGATGGTGGGAGTGGAGGGCTTTCTGGTGTGCTTAAGGACCTGGGCAGATGTGGTAACGCGACGTGCCTCGCAGATGATTCCGAGAACCAGCCGGCCAGTGGGGAAACAAAGAATCAAAGATCACAGGCAGTTTTCAGGGCCTCGGGACTTGGGGGGAGGACTGAAAAAGGACAGTCCACTCATAGCCACACAGCATTGGCTATAACTCAGGTGCATACCATACTTACCTGTAGAGGAGACTGGGAGACGTCCAGAGGACAGGGAAACCTGGTGAACAGCTAGCCAATCTCTACCACACTTACAAGGACTTTCCTTGTAGGGTACCTGCTCTCTGATTCAGATGATTATGAGGGGATGGAGATATGGAGAGGAGTTCTGGAGTTACACATTGTGCGGCTAACCACAAGGTCTGCAGTTTGAAACCACCAGCCACTCTGTAGGAGAAAGATGAGGCTTTCTACTCCTGTAAAAAGTTAACAGCCTCAGAGGCTCACAGGGCAGTTATACCCTGTCCAGTAGGGTTGCTGTGAGTCAGAATTGGTAGTGAGGGGTTTTGGGGGCTGTTGGGTTTTTTGTTTTGAGATCTGTAGGGTAAGTCTCCTTGTCTTTTTGGAAGTGACTGCTTCACACCCTTAGATATTAGCATGGGAAATGAATTCTGAACATATCTATTAATTATTCGTACTCTCTTCTCACAGGGAAATAAATGCTCGACTTGATGCTGTATCTGAAGTTCTCCATTCAGAATCTAGTGTGTTTGGTCAGATAGAAAATCATCTACACAAATTGCCAGACATAGAGCGAGGACTTTGTAGCATCTATCACAAAAAAGTAAGTGTAATAGAAACTATCTGTTCCAGCTGATGATACCCTTCCGTATGGGGCTCCAGGATATTAAAAGAAACTTCTTAGACTCTAAGGCTTAGAGAATTGTTTTTTAGAGTTTTGCTGAATCCTCACAAATGTTAATTGCACGCATGCAAGGGTTTTCATTTTTCCATGTAAAAAAGTAAAGTTTGCTCACTTGGGCTCATCGGCTCGCTTTCAGCTCACTGCCATTGAGTTGATTCCGATACATAGAGGCCCCTGTGGGTTTCTATGACTGTAACTCTTTACAGCAGTAGAAAGCTGTGTCTTTCTTCCATAGTCTCCGTCAGCAGTGCATATTATAGGCCCTTTCTACTATGGTATAGTGCAAGATATTCTCATATTTCATTCACCATTCATAGCAAAACAGGGAAGTTCCTTAGACTTGCTACTTTCTTTGATCTCAGAGAACTCCTTATATGCTGTAGCCAAAGGAAAGAAAATCTGTATTGAAAAGATGTGTTTTGGAAGAAGTAAGGCTAGAGTGCTCCTTAGAAACAAAGAGGGTAAGACTTCGTCTTACATACTTGGGACATACTGTCAGGAGAGACCAGTCCCTGTGGAAGGACTTCATGTTTGGGAAAGTGGAGGGCAGAGAAAAAGAGGAAGGCCCCTGAAGAAATGGATCGACACAGTGGCTGCATCAGTGGACTCCGACAGAGCAACAGCTGTGAGGATGGCACAGGACTGTGCAGTGTTTCATTCTGTTGTGCTCAGTGTCACTATGGGTCAGAGCCAACTGAATGGCACCTGCCAACAAAAACAACAAAGGAAAAATCTGCTGGTACAATATTTGCGGTGAGTGGTATTAATATGCAAGCTCTTTGGATGGCGCAAGTGAGTCAAGGCACCCTTTAGATTTTCCTCACTTAAGCTGTAGGTTTTTAGTCATAACAGTAACAAAGGGAAGTAATCGACTCTACCTTCAACAACACATGCCTAAAGTAAAATTAAAATACCAATGAACAATGTTTATAATGATTATCAATACATTGTTCATAGTGTTTTAACTTTTGCAAGAATTATTCACATACATTATACCCGTTGTTCCCTATAAAAATTTTATAGGTACATATAACCTCCTTCCTGGGGGATGGACAGCAGAAAAGTGGGTGTAGGGAGACGTTGGACTGTGTAGGATATGACAAAATAGTAATAATTGATAAATTATCAAGGGTTCATGAGGGAGGGGAGAGCAGGGAGGTAAGGGAAAAATGAGCTGATACCAAGGGCTCAAGTGGAAAGCAAATGTTTTGAGAAATGTGATGGCAACAAATGTACAAATATTCTTGACATAATGGATGTATGTATGGCTTGTGATAAGAGTTGTATGAGCCCTCAATAAAATGCTTTTAAAAAACCAAATGCAAACAAAAAAACTTTACAGGTGATTGACAAAATACTGTGATTACCTCCTTAATAATAGGAAATGGTATGTAGAAAGGGTCAATAGCTTTCTAGTAAGTAGCAGAATTATTATTTTAACGTAATATTTAAACTCCTTACCGCTTTTGTGGGGTTCTGGTGGACATGATGTTTGGGTACCACCAGTTTGAATGTAGTTGTTTGGCTTGCCTTTCCCGTCTCCTCCCTCTCTCCCCCTACTTGTCTTAAGCAAAGGCCCAAATATAAAGCCTTGCCAAAGTAATCATTTAACTTTAGGAAACATGGTCTATACTCTACTTTTAGTTGTGACTAATTTTTGACTCAAAATCAGACTCACTGCCATCAAGTCTGTCCCGACTCAGACTAGTGTTGACCTCTTTTCAGAGTCCCCGTCATTCTCTGCCACCCCACAGCCTCCTCCACTTCAGAGAATTTACTAGAATGAGCTGTACTGCCTTGGAGAACATTGCAATGCCCAAGAGTTGATTCGTTGTAGACCCAGGCAAGTTTGTAAACAAAGTCCGAGCCAGAACTGGGAATATGCATCTGGAGGCGGGGAGATGGGCAGCTTGTCTTGGGGTCGGGGAGTCTGTTGCCCATTGGTTGGTGCAGTTTGTCGGTACTTCACTGGTGATTACAGAATCTACCGCACCGCTGGTTGGAAGTCTATGCTTGCTGTTTTTGAGGAGACGCCGCGGATTGGAAGCCATTTGTGATATTGTGTGCTTGGCCCTGTGCCTGACAATCCGTGTGTATTATTCTTCAGTAAGCAGTGGAGTTCCAACCATCTTGCCTTCAGTGCTTGGAATACTTCTCTGACGGATGTCAGAGATTTTTGTTTTTCTCAAGAGAAAATAAGAGCAGAGCTACAAAAAAATGTCAGCTGTGCTTCTAAAGAGCTGACTCAGGCTGTCTGTGATTTTTTTTTTTCTTACTCTCTGCCACCTGCCATTTTCTAAACTTTAGTTTGATGTACACATCTCATAAGGTTGGTGTGTTTACAGAAGTATCAGACTTTTGGTGAAAGCCAGACTCTAATGTATTTCAAAATCTCCAATGTATAGAGTAAGAGCACTGTTATCTTTTCCTGAAGGAATTTATGACTCACCCAGAAGCTGTTTCTGGTTACTGTTTCAGTGTTTACACAAGAATGTACTTAAAGATTGGTTTGGAAAGTAAAGAGCCGGAGTGATTTGGGAACAGACCAACTGTAAATTCATTATCTGGCTCTTGGAACATATCATTAGATGTGTCTGTTCTTTCACATTCACTTACTCTCAATATGATTCAACTGTATGTGTGATGTGGGTACAGACTGTACCACTGATGTGAGCTTCATAAAATGATGAGGTATGTTCTGTTGGGATATTATGAAAGTGATAAACACAGGCTAAAGGCTGTGTTGAATATGCTGTGACTATGCAGAGATTCATGTTTTTATGATGATAACAGTGGAGGATCCCACCTGGACTCTGCCTCGTATTTAAAAACATCACTTCTTTTGATAGTAAAAACTCAAATCTTTGAAAATACTATTAACTACATCTCATACTAATTTTACGTAAGAACTGTTTTGTAACCAAGTGATGTTTTAGAGATACCTGAAAAGGATCATAGCACTCAGTAGATGTTGAAGGCAAGTGCATTCAGAATTTTGTTGGTGAGAACAACTGCTTAGCTGGACTTGTCCACATCCAAGGCCACATTTTTTTCAGTATGATCCTAAACCTGGGGTTCTCCCATTTCTTTGATGCCCTGCCTTTTACTTGTATGTCCCCTTTCACCGTTGTATGAATGCATCATACATGAGCTCCAGGTTCCGCTTTCATTTATTACCACAAACAGTCTAGCCTCCCATATGGGGTGTGTTTCCCAGGTACAATGGCCTTTATGGAGAATTCCACTTCGGTTCTATTGACCCTAACCTCTCTTTCGCTACAATTAGTTTTATTCCCTGTTGTTAATTATTTTTTAAAATATATGTTCCTATCATTAATCCATGTTATACATATTCTTCCTTATTACTACTTATCATTAGTTTAACTCTAAATCTTCCTCTTTCTAGTATATGATAGGACTTCCAAAAGTTAATAGAAAACATGGAATTAGAAGGCAATGAAATGTTTGCTGTCTCTTTGTACTTCTTTTTATTAAATGCGTTATTAAAATTATTTTTTTCAATAGCCATCTTTTAGAGCCTCCCACCCTGATTCAGTCTGAACTGGTTATCTTGTATATCTGTTGCATAGTTATCATCTTAAATTCCTTTTGTTTTTTTTTGAGTTGAGTCTTTTCATTTCTGAACCCGTTGTCTTCTTGGCGTCTCTTTCATTTTGGTGGTGTACTTCCTCTTGAGACTTCCTGAGAAAGATGTGGGAATTAATGATGTCTGGAAATGTTTGTTTCACCCTACTCTCACAGTTGATTGGTT